ATTCTGAGCCTCTGTGACATTTGGGAGTACTATGTATTTTTGTAGTGTTACCCTAGGTAGATAGTTCTGAAAACTGGTTATAATTTATTGAGGACTATAAAAGTGTGTTAAGAATCTATAAAAATTTATAGAAAACCATTAGAAATGTTAATTTTAAACTCTAATATTGGCAAATGTAATTTATGGATGATAATGTTCTGAAGGAGGAGTCCATCTGGAGGAGGAACAGCAGACTAGACCTGGGGAGCCTTAATTCTAAGTCCCAATTTTTCCCTTGTGACTTGCCCTTTAAGAGCGTCATTTATACTGTGTGGGCCTTTGGCATCCATGAAATGTGGGTCCTGTACTAAAATAGCAAAGTTTTTTTTTTCTTCAATTTAATTATTGGTGCTGAAAATTGAACTTAGGACTTCAAGCATGCTAAAGCACTTTATCACTGAGCCACCCCCCCCCCAGTATGTTTTTCCATTTTTAAATTGGTTTGTATGGGTCATGAGAATTACAGCTTTTTGGAAAGTATATGGTTAAACATATGATAGTCATCTTCAGTTAGTGGGTGGTTGCTCAGTTCTAGTTCCAAGCTCTTTGGACTTCTTAATTAGGGTTTTGCAAAGCATTGTCTTAAGTATTGCATATAGAATGCCCTTTTAGGAAACTCTAGGTTCTCTCTTTTGTTTTGAGAGTTGGTGAGTTTCTCTTCCTCGCCTTTACATTGTCCCTGTACTCTAAAACTCAGTACACGAATCCTAGAAACAAGTTTTAGGAAACAATGAACTCTGTCTTAAAGCATAAATATTTAAGGTAATTCTCGTTTGAAGGTGTGAAGGCGGTAGTTTTCATTATTAAGGTGAAGACAGAAGGACATTTTTAGTATTTTTAAGTTGAGTTTTAGAATTAGAGCTAATTTTGACAGACTCTTTGTGTAGGTAACAGTAGAGGGGAGATGGCTCAGTAGGTAAAGTGCTTGCTGCACAAGCATGAGGACTGAGTTCTGACGTCTAGCACCCCTGTAAAAGCCAGGCATGGTGGCATGCGCCTGTAACCTAGCACTTCACAAGGGCTCACTAGACAACTAGTCTAGCCAATCAGTGAGCTCTGGGTTCAGTGAGGGACCGTATCTCAAAAAATAGGTAGAGAAGCTACAGAGAAGAAACCTTATGTCGACCTCTGGCCCTCACACAAAACATTGACTCACTCATACACTGTGTACACATCCAAGCAAAGCAAGCAGTTAAAAATGTGTAAAGTTGGTATATATTTAGAAAGTTTAGACTATTGAGTTGGACTTTTTTTTCCCCTGTGATGTGTAGTGAAAGATTAGATGGGGAGCTGTTATTTAGTAAACAAGAACCACCTGAGTATGTGTCTGTATCGTCCTTAAAAGGGGAAATTGTGGCTCAGGGTCATAGTACTTAGTGGCCAAATGATCCCCAGCCAAGGCCTCCTTACTTTAAACCCTTTGCCAATTTCAGTATTGCTTTCTACACTCCTAAGGTGGAGCTTTTTAAGGTCTCTATCACTCACTTTTAAGTTGTAAATTTGCCTTCTGTCATTGTCTCCATTTTTCCAGAGAAAGGTAAGGCTGGAAAGGGTAAGTCACTGGCTCAGAGGACCCGAGCTTGTAGCATAGCCAGATCTGAGATTCCAGAGCTACCTCTAAACCATCATGCTTACTGTGAAGGCTGAGTCTTAATTGTGAATAGTGAATTATTGTTGAAAATGACCATGTGAACTAGGTAACTCATGCAAGCCTCTTTATTTTAGAAAGTTGGCCCAGGTTTCATTCATGGGCTTTGAGTTCAGTTTCCCAGTGGGGTTATTATTGGTCTTTGGATCTGAAGGCTTCAGCACAGCATAGTGAGTCTTTGCAGAGCTCATTTCTTGGGATCCAGGCTGTGCAAGTGACTGCCCACAGGGAGGAGGAAGGACAAATTCTAACAAGATGACTGCTTTGAAGGCTTGCACCTATTTTAAGTTGAAAACAATGTAATTGTGTGGTGAAAAAATCAAAATCAATTTTATATCTGCCTATAGCAGACAGGAGAAAATCCACTGTATTTTTTCCCCTGGTGGAGGAGGGTGTTGGTTGTGTTGTGTTGTGTTGATAGTCTCATGCTGTAGCCCAGGCTGTCCTGGAACTTACTGTGTAACCCTGATGGGCCTTGAATTCCCTGCAGTCTTGCCTCAGCCTCCTGAGTGTTAAGATTTCAGGCATACCTCTGTGTATTTTAGCCATGTCCATTCTTGGGCATTTGCACAGTGCTTGTGATGGGATTTCGAAGACTGATACTAAAGATTGAGTAGTATAGTCTACACTGTATGTATTTGAGTGTGTTTTCCTCCTGTTCCAGAGTTCTAGAGGTTTTGACATTGTAAAGCAGTGTTTTAATTAAATTGTACATTGTGCCAGGCACTGTAGCATTCCACACCAATGAGGACCTGAGAAGTTTGGCACAGGTGAAGACAGCTACACCGCCCTTGCATAGGGCTGACTTAAGTGCAGTGTAAAGCAACTCATTGTAATGGGGTGATGCTCAGCATTCCAAACCTAACATTTACTGCACTGGCAGATGATTCTCGCCCCTACCGCATACCTGCTTATAGTGTGAGATGAAAACAGTAACTGGAGCTGCTGCTTCCAACATAGGAAAAATCCCACAGGGACTCCTGACAAACCCAGTTGAGGAAGGTTCTTTTGTAGCTCCTTGTGACTGAAGTAACAAAATAAGCAGCTGGGAAGTTAGAAAATGTACTGAACTTTCAAGTTTTCAGGAGGAACTCAGAAGTTCCTGGAGCTGAGGTGGTGGAAAGTCTGTTGGGCATCTTCTCAGGATTTTATTTCTGAGGGTGGAACCTCAGTTACTGATGTCTTTTCAGAGCTTTCAGCCTGTGTGAAACCTAGTCTTTAGGATGCAGTCAAGGCCCGCCCAAATGCCTGTTTGTCTCAACTGGGCAGCCAGACATTTTACTTTGTTAACCAGGATACTGAGAGCCCAAAGCAGACTTGTCTGAAGTCACGGCCTTCAGGACCATTAGGAAGCTCTTTCATGTTACCTAAAACGTCTCCTGTTAATCCATTCTCCTCATTGGGCTGTTGTAAACAAGTCTGATTCTTTCAACAGGTCTCCAAAAATTTGAGGTCGTAATCATGTCCTCCCAGAGAGCCGCTTATCTAAGTCAAACAGCCTTCCTCTTTGGAGTTTTTCATGGTTTTGAGGCCTCCTTCCCTTTTCTAAGTGCCCCCTCCTGTAACATGTTATTCAGAAGTAAATTTTAGCCTAATAATCGTGGGACAGGGTAGTCTTGTAACAACTGTAGCCAAATAATATATAAATCAGTGTCGTCTTATACTTAGTACACTGCCAGTCCACAGAACTTGCCTTCATCAAGATCTCCATCTTAAATTCTCTTCTGGCTTGTCCTCCCCATTCCAGTGCAAACAATTTGCTTTATAAGATTTAAAGCTATGTAGAAATTGTTTTGGAATCTTTCTGTCATAACTGTGTTATCTCTAACATCTGCCTTCTGTATTTTCATCCAGGTTAATCAGGGAAAATAGTTGAATAATTAGGGAAAGCAGGTATGTGTCAGAAAACTACACACACAGGCTTTGTGCTGTGGGGTAGTGACTATTGCTTTTTCTTTTTCTTGAGGCAAGGTCTCATGTAGCCCAAGCTGGCCTCAAATGTACTGTGTGACTGAGAATGAATGACCAGATGACCTTGAACTTATCATCATATGCTTCCACTAGTGTGAGGGTTACAGGCATGCACCTCCACACCTGGTTTTACAGTGATGAGGATCAAACCAGGGGCGTTGTGCATGCTAGGCAAGCACCCTGCCTATGAGCTACAACGCCTGGTGGCTCGGTGCTTGCTTTTTCTGAGTGTTTGGAAACCATATCGTGAATCTCTCCAAGATAAACAGCAAATTGTTCTTCCAGTGACTTTTGTCATTTTACCTCCTACTGATACTTCCTGTTCATATCCTATCACGTGCTTTCCTTTGTTTCTGTTTTTCTCTTCTAACCCAGAGCTCATTAGAGAACCCTCTTTATCTACCCACACTGATTTCTTGAAGTGTCTCTTTTATATATAAATCACATGAAATTATTTTTGCAAGATTTATACTCCGGAGAGGTTTCTAGTTGTATCTGTTCTTCTTAAATTGAAAAAAAAATCTTTTCAACAAACTCAGGTAAATGCCAGTTCTATGCAAGTTCTATCAAATTATTAGTGAACAGCATGGGTCTACCCATACATTTTAGTCTAAATCTACAGAGTCATACATGGCTCATGACTTCGTTATTATAAATAGAAACTTTTATAACTCATTCTTTTTGGTAGTATTGGGAATTAAACCCAGGACCTCACTGAGCCACATCTTTAGTCCAGAAACTTAACATTCTAATTAGTAGTTGGTAGGTTTTTTTTTTTTTTTTGAGACTGGATTCCCCGGTACCCCCTGCTGGCCTAGAACTCATACCTAATGACCAGGCTGGTCTTGAACTCAACAGAGGTCCACCTGCCTCTGCCTCCCAAGTGCTGGGATTAAAGGTGTGCACCACCACACCTGGCCTCTAGGTGGTAGTTTTTAAAGGGTTCACTCCCCACCCCCATCACCACGTCTTTTGAGACAGGGTCTCAAAACCAGGGCTCTGTAGCCCTTCTTGGTCTGGAAATTAGTTATTTCTCCATCCCACTTCTCCCCATAGTGCTGTGATTACAGACGTATACTCCCACACCTGACTTAATGTTCTTTTACATTTTTGCAGGCTTATGTCCTGTTGATTCAAGACCTAAGGTAGATAGTTTTATAGCAGGAACAGGTGGGGTGGGGAGGCAATATTTATTAACATGTGTTGGAAATCATCTGAGTGATTAGTAATGAGAGCTGGTTGGAGTAACAATTAGAGTGATAATTGAAAGATGGTTTTGGGTGTGATTATGATGCTATTTAGATTTTCTTTCTTTCTTTCTTTTAAAGGAACAGTGAGCAGAATGAACTCCCTGGAACAGACTGGCTGCTTCAGTAATAGAGAGACACTTTTGAGGTGCAGTGATGCACGGAGGGAGTTGGAACTTGCTATTGGTGGAGTACTCCGGGCTGAACAGCAAATTAAAGATAACTTGCGAGAGGTGTGTACTCTTTTCTCCTTATTCTGGCTGTAGCACAAGGCTGGTTAGAGTACAACCAAGGACTTAACGTCTCAGTACCACCCAGAGTTTCATCCACACTCTGCATGTGCTTAACCTTGGCTGCCTGGCATGTTTCTGTTTTTGATCCCAAATGGAAATACGGCAGATGCTAGTCTGGGAACCCAGTACTGCTTGGAGAATTCCATTAAGCATGTGTTTTGATAGCTTCTCTTTGTGGTCCCTATGCCCAGCTGTCAATGAAAAGGAACAAAGGGAGTGTGCAGTGTTCTGCTTAGCTGCATCTTTTGATGTGTAAAAGATGGCACTTCATTATGCCCTACCTTTATTTAGTTTGTTGGTGGCATGTTTTTGGTGGCATATTTACAAAATGACTTTGCCATTCTACAAATCAGAGTGAAATGTGTTCATTCCAATAGCTGTTGAGTGCTTCAAGTAGTCTTTGAAACTTTTGTTCCATAAATGTGCTTTATGATATATTTATGTGGATTTATAGCTGTTTTAGTTTTTTTTCCTTGAGATATTTTATCTAGTCCCAATGTGAATCATTTTTTTTTTTTTGTTTTGTTTTGAGACAAAGCCTTACTGTGTAGTCCTGGCTGGCCTGGAACTCTTCTGTGTAGCCTAGGCTAGGTTCAAACTCACAGAGATCTGCCTGCCCAGCCCATGAATCATTGCTTAAAGCTCTCAGAAACATTTAGTTTATGATTTTACTTAAAGCATCCACCCTACTGATGTTCTTGCTTTTGATGAGATGGCTCTTGCCTATTCCATGAAGGTGGAGAAAGGACACAGACCAGCTACAAAGTCAGTATCTTTTATTTCAATGATAAACTTGTAAAAGCTGTATTTTAAGACTATATGGAAAACTGAGGGGTATTGATATCTGTGACATGTCTTTTTATTTTCTTCTGATTATTGATCCCCCAAATAAATCTCTTAGGAGGAGGTGGTGTGAAGGAGGATTTTACCATTTAGGTATACTTTTTTGACTGAGATTTTTTTATTTTTAAGGTTTTTGAGATAAGGTCTCACTGTGTAGATCTGGCTGGCCTGGAATTCGCTGTGTAGGTCTCAAACTCAAAGATCACCTGCCTCTGTCTCCCAGGTACTGGGATTCTTAAACTAGGATTTATAGGTCTTTGTGAGATCACTGAAATTGTAGGCAAAAATTTGAATATATACAGAAAAGGGGAGACCTTCCGTGGTTGTCAGTGAATGATCAAAAGGATTTCTGACTGATTTAAGAACCAGTATTTTATGGGACTCGTCTTTCTTTGGCTTATATAACTAGTTAATGCTAACAGGTATGCATTTCCTAGGTGAAAGCTCAGATTCACAGTTGCATAAGTCGCCACCTAGAATGCCTTCGAAGCCGAGAGGTGTGGTTAAACGAACAAGTAGACCTCATCTATCAGCTTAAAGAGGAGACACTTCAGCAGCAGGTTCAGCAGCTTTACTGGGTAAGAGGCTACATGGCTGGAATTGACTTGAGCATGTTTTCTAGATTTTCAGAGAATATTTTCCTTGCCCTGCAATATTATTATAAATCAGATAAAGTTAAATTTTAGCTGTTTATTTGGATATACCTGGTGCTTTACATTGTGGCTAGATGGTTTCATTTTTCTTGTAGTTAATGGGCCAGTTCAGTTGTCTTATTCATCAACTGGAGTGTACCCAAAACAAAGATCTCGCCAATCAAGTCTCCGTGTGCCTGGAGAGGTAAAGACCTCTTACTTGTTTTGACTTTTGACTGCTGTAGGTAGACATAAAAAGCAAGTCAAATTTGCAACTCATTCCACATGTTGAATTTAACTTTGTTCTTGTGTAAGATCATCCTGCTTTTTATATTTAATGTTACACTTGCTGATACTTGATTAAGCCATGTACCTTTAGCTGAGTTTTAAGAAAGTGAAGTCATTTAAAATTTCTCAGTTTGGTTATTGTATCATTAGAAGCAGCTGAAACTGATACTCCTTGTAAATAGCCACATTTTACTATTTTCCTAGACTGAGCAGTTTGGCCCTTAAGCCTGAGGATTCAACTGTCCTGCTCTTTGAAGCAGATACAACTGCTCTGCGCCAGACCATCACCACATTTGGATCCCTCAAGACCATTGTGAGTACAGATCATTTCAGATATTTCAATAGGCACATCTTAATACAGCTAGTCTTACTAAGGCTTGGTGGTGGCAGAGATCTTAGAAATGTACTGGTTTAAATCAGAAGAACATTAGGCTGGCAGTTTTTGGATTGTTATTGACTCATGAAGAGTACTTAAGATTTCATCTTGTATCATTTAAAATATTTTGACATATAAAAATTAGTTTTGTGGTTTGGTCTTTAATAAAGAACTGAGTGTAGCCTTATCTGGGTCTTGTAAAAATAGTACTAGTGCCAATTCTAGTGAAGATTTCTTCTATAATTACAGTATTGCAAATTGATGATTACTTTATAAACCATTGAATTTAACGAGAATAATACTTCTAGTGAAATAATGATGCTTTGCTCAGTGTTTTTGAAATCTAGGATTGTACTATCACTTTTTGATAGGAAAGCATAGTATAAATAACAAGTCTTCATTTTATAGCAAATTCCTGAGCACCTGATGGCCCATGCCAGTTCATCGAACATTGGATCTTTCCTAGAGAAAAGAGGTTATACCCCAGTGCCAGAGCAGGTAAAATGTCATTTTGTTTCTGGTAACTAAGCCATTCATGAATTCTTTGAGTTTTGTAAAGAGTAGTTTTGTTAATAAAAGATTGAAGGCACTTGTTTTGAGACAGGATCTAACTGTATAGGCCCAGTCTGACTTGGAACTTGTTACGTAGCCCAAGTTAGCTTCAAACTTGGAATCCACCTGCCTCTGCCTCCAAGTGCTGAGATTACAGGTGCATACTGCCGTCCCTGGCCTTATTTTAAAAATGTGAAAATTGGGACTGGTGATAATGGCTCAGCAGATAAAGGCACTTGCCATGCAAGCCTGGTTACCTGAGTTCAATCCCTGAAACTGATGCAAAGGTAGGAGAGAACCAACCCCACAGTTGTCCCTGATCTCCACAGGAGCACCATGGCACACATGGACGTCCCCTCACAGACAATTTTTTTGGTAGGTACTAATAAACTTAATGTATTTAAAGGTAATAAAATCTTGGTTTCCAAACAAAGAGAAAAAATTGAGGTTCAGGGAAGGCATGTGACTTGTTTAAGGTCAGTAGCAACCCAAGGTTAAAAGCACTTGGGTCTCCTGTTTTACCAGTGAATTTTCTCTTACATTTCATACAGCCTTGTTAAGCAGCAAAGTTTTTCTTTTTTATTACTTGTAGAAGCCAGCATCCAGCAGCACAGCTCTTTCTCTCAGTGAATGGCTTCTTGTCACCAAACCTGCCATTGGTCATCAGGCTCCTTATGTACCCAGCACCAACCCCCAGGACTGGCTCACCCCAAAACAGACCTTGGAGAATAGTCAGGTGTGTGGCTGCGTTTATTATTTCTGAGATAGGATGTAATGCATTGGGTTAGTTATCTGTAGTTTATGCTTTGATTTTTATCATCTAGAAGTATGCTTTTAATCTTCAATTACAGAGGCATTACTCCCCTAAACATTTAGGAGCTAATTAGTTCCTGAGGAGTAAATTTTTACAAATTGGATTCTTAGATTACTGTTCTGCCTGCCTACTTCTGCTGCATTGTGCCAAGTTGGCTTTCTAGGAAGTTAATGGTTGATAGTCTTATCAGCAGAATATTCACCACCAAACCTCTCCAATAGTGGTAGTTGTTTATAAGTTTCTTTCTTACACAACATAGCAGTTTTGCTTTAGAGGAAGGTATTTTGTGCTTATTAGAATTTGCCCTTCATGCAGTTACTAGTTCAAGATTACTAGTTTCCTTTTTCCAAAATCAAATATGCCACAACTACTTGTTAGTTTCCATTTCATGCTTTTTACTGTTTTTTTAAGTACAGAAAATAGACTTTTTATGTGAGTGTATTTTAATATAATTATTCTGGCACACTAACATTGGGCACTTCCTGTGTAGATGTCTGCCAGAGCCTGCAGTTTCTTCAGTAACGCCTGGGGTGACCTGAAAGGCTTAGAGAACTGGCTCCTCAACAACCAGCAACAAACCTTTGGAAAACTGAGTTCCCCACAGTATAATGGCCATTCTGTCACCAGCTCTTCATCCATTGGAATTGGAAAGATGGGAGGTGGGGAGCTCCTCGGGCAAGAAGACACAGACCTGTCTGAGTGGCTGGTGACTCGAGAACCCTGCGACCTGGAGAAGCCGGAGAATGGTGGCCGTGAAAGCAGTGAGAAGTTAAAGCTCCTGTTCCAGATATTCAGAGAGCCGTACAGTGTCAGCGATTGGCTTGTCAAGCCTGGTTCCTGTACTAACTGTCAGGGCAACCAGCCCAGAGGTGTGGAGATTGAAAACCTGGGCAATCTGAAATGCCTGAATGATCACCTGGAGGCCAAGAAACCACTGTCTGTCCCTGGCACCACTGAACCACAGAACCAGCAGGAACCATGTAAAATAGAGGAAGTCTGCAGAGCCAACGAGCCCTGCACAAGCTTTGCGGAGTGTGTGTGTGATGAGAATTGTGAGAAGGAAGCTGTGCACAGATGGCTTCTGAAGAAAGAAGGAAAGGACAAGAATGGAATGCCCGTGGAACCCACATTCGAGCCTGAGAAACACAAAGAGTTCTTGAATATGTGGCTCTGTCCTAGAAAAGAGTTCATGGAACAAGCTAAGGCACCAAAGGCAATTGCTCCTGCTAGAATTGCTGATTCCTTCCAAGTCATAAGGAACAGTTCCTTGTCAGAATGGCTTATCCGGCCCTCATGCAAAGAGAGTGGCTCCATGGAAGTGTCTAGCATTGAGGACAAAACTGGCAAAGAAAAGGTGAAAAGCGCTATGACGACCTCCTGGTGTCCTTTAAACACTGCTGACTGGGTCTTACCAAGAAAGAACATGGGAAATCTCAACCAGTTTTCTTCTGGTGAAGACAAGTGGCTACTTCGAAAAAAGGCCCAGGTGAGCATACTTCAGAATTGCCCTGTTTGAATCTGCTCTAATTCCTGCTAAATTTGGCTGAGGAAGTAGAGAAAATGACATTGCTTTTTAGGCGTACCATTTGATAAGGGAATTTTTAAAAAAGTTCCATGACTACTGAATCAACCCATCTTTTTTTCCTCCTTGTAGGAAGTGTTTCTTAATTCACCTCTACAAGAGGAACGTAACTTTCCCCCTGACTGTTACGGCCTGCCAGCAGTTTGTGATCTCTTTGCCTGTATGCAGCTTAAAGTTGATAAAGACAAGTGGTTATACAGAACTCCTCTACAGGTGAGTGTATGCCACCAGTGTTAGCGCTATTGTAGTTCATACACACTTTCTCTTACATAGGAACTTAGTAGTAGTTCCCTTAACTGAACCATATTCCTGTTAATACATGAAGATGGGGAACAAATACTCTGAGAACTGGCAAGCTGGCTCAGTGGGTAAAGGTGCTTCCCACACAAGCCTCACAACCTGAGTGCCATCCTTCCACAATCATGGCACATACAAAACAAACTTTAAAAAAATTAAGACAGCCTCTTCAGCTTTCTTTATAGGTATACTTAAAAGTGACCTTTCAAGATGTTAACTCTCCAGAATTTTTAACCTCTTGTGCATTGTGGTAGCTTGAGACCAGAGTTCATTCTAAGGTGGAAAGAATTTTGCTTTGTCTACAGTGAAGTGATGTGTCTGGGCTTCTCTTTACAGATGTGAAGGAATGGATTCCTAGACTTGAGCAGCATTTCTGCAGCTTACCACGTGATTAAGCTGAGTGACTGCGACTTGCCAAATCATTGTGTATTTTGGGTCTGCCTAGTTTTGAGCTAGATAACAAATCATCAAATTATGAGTTATTTTGTGAAAGAAAGGCTGTTGATGCTAAGGCGATTCAGTTCCTTCTTAAAGCATCTTGGTGCGTAGGCCTTCACCAGCTTCCATGGCAAACACTATAGTTTTAAAAGTAAAACATTTCTGTATTGAAGTGTGTTAATGTGTTCTAAAGTTAGTAAACTCTTCTTGATACCATTTGGATGTTTCTCTTGCTCTGGTCTTCTAGTGGTTTGAAATGATTTTCTTCAGTGAATATATAGGATATTTCATACAACTAACCTTACCAACAGTATGATATAAATTTCCCTTACCAAAATGTATATTAATTATACTGTAATTTTGACATTAATCCTCAGATATTTTAGCCTTCATGTCATTTCTACATTGTTTAATTTGAAACAATTTAAGCTATTTTTGCCTTTGTTTGCAAATTTTGGCTTTATTCTGTTCTGTCAATGTTACTAAAGTAACCAGTGAGCTCTTTGAAAAGGACTCATTTCAAGACCACTTTCAGGGCAGTCAGAGCCTCTAAACTTCTAGATCTCTAGTTTTTAAAGAGCCCCTGGTCAACTAAGAGCAAAAAGGCAAGACATGGTGGAAATGCAGTACTTGAACCACTTATCAACCCAAGAAATTTATTGGTGCATCCTGTGTAAATGGAAGCTGAGCTTGACAAACCTGGTGCTCTTAACTAGGGGTAAAGTCAATGTCCTCTTGCTTCAAGCGCATCATTCTTGTACCTCTGAAAGTACCGTGCAGTGACATCTTGGTCAACAGGTTGTGTTCAACACTTGTGCCTTGGAGTGTTTATTGAAACTTGATAGAATGGACATCCTTAGTCATGTCTACACTTTGGGAAGTTTCTCTGTAGGGGAAAAGTAGGACTTACAAATGCTTTGAAATTCTCTAAGAACTTAGTTGCTTTCCATGCTTTGAAACTATTAAACTTCTTAACTGTCTTACACTATTGGAAATGCTTTTGGGGAAAATTCATGGTTCCACAGTGACAGTGCCATATTAGAACTCTGAACCACAGCTGGAAAGAGCCTTGTATTTTCTTATGCCACTGGATATTATAAAGGTGATGGGTAAAAATGACTTAAAGAGCTTTGCAGTTTCATTTGAGGTCGAACACACTGTATTTTACATTATGAAAAATGTAATTAACATTAATCACTATGCTAATAGGGGACAAGTAAAAAGCATTCCTTTGCATTGATGAGTTTTGTATCTCCATTAAAAGCATAATGGCCACATCACAGTTGTATGTGTTCTCTATTAAACTCAAAATGTGCTGCCATTACAAATGTAGTAACGTTAACTGAGAATGTATGAAAAGAGTGTAGAATCCTACATTAGCAAACATTGTTTTTGGTCTCCTCCTGAAAACTGCTCACCTCTACTATAAAAACAAAATAGTGGGATCTGGCAGCTGTAGTTCAGTACTTTTCTGACCCATTGAGCCACAGGGTGCTTAGTACGTACTTTTTTTTTTGAGGCAGGGTCTCCCTGTAGCCCCAGCTGGCCTGGAGCTTGCTTGTAGACCAGGTGGGTGGGCCTCAGTTCCACAGATGCACCACCACACATAAGAAAACTCTCCGTGAGTTCAAGGCCAGCCTGGTCTACATAGAGACCCTGTTGCAAAAAGACCAAAAAAAAAAAAAAAAAACAAAACCCTACACCTTGTACTTTCAACCCCTCATTAGTCCCAGAAAGGAGTTATTATAGAGAGTGAAGGTCAACTGCTGGACAGACTGTTCTGTTCTAGCATACTAATATAATGATTAACCTGAAAAACCTTGAGTTATGTCAGCTGTGTTGGAGAAAAAAAGTCTTACCCAAGTTGTTTACGACACCTTTAGCCCTTCATTTCAATACAAACATGAAAATACATTGTTTTAGCTTAATTTAGGCAGGAAAAAAAGCACCAAGAGTGTCTAACTTATACTCAGGTATTTTTTGTTTCGTTTTTGTGTGTAGACCACAGGCTGAGTGTCTTCAATTGCTCTCTACCTTATATACTGAAAGCAAAGTCTCTCATTTGAACCTAGAGCCACTAATTTGTCTAGCTAGCCAGCTTGCTCCAAGGATTCTGTATCTGCCTCCTGAGTGCTGGGATTACAGGTGGGTTGCATCCATATAAATGGGTTATATCCATTTATGTGGATGCTGAGGATCCAAACTCTGGTATTCACACTTGCAAGTGTTTTACCTGATGAACCATCTTCCCAGCCACTTAAATGTTTTGAAACAGAGATATCATATTTTATATTGGCATTATAACTTTGGTTCTATTTTCACCCTTTATTTGGAATATAGGGCAGCATTAGTTTCAGACTTTTAAGAATAAACATGGTGATAAAATGTTGAAAAGTAAGTATGACCTGAATGGTTTTCCAGTTTAGGGGGTAGGAAAGAGAAAGGGTACAAGATATCTCCAAAGGAGAAAAAAACACATTACTCAGTGAGCCACCAAAGGGTTTGGCTGCAACTCACTAAGGGCAAGTAGTATGATCCTGGGCAACCATCCATGATCACAGCAAATGAGAATCTCCAATTGTTCAAAGTAATTGTAGGTACATGAGAGAAAGCAACTCCAGACTTGATCTGGATGACTATGAAATGTCCCCCATTCCTGAGGTGGCAAAAATCTCAGAGTGACTGTTGATGCAAGGAGCCTTTCATGTGCTCCCAGTTGTTATACAGTGCATAAAGGCTGGTAAGTGTCAGTCCTGCCAGACCACCTCGTGCCACTCCTCGAAAACCACCTGGGGAGAGAAGGAAAAAGAAAATGGAACAACCTTATATATTTCATGTCCTAGCAATCAAAGGGTTATATAAATATGTGGTAAAAATGGAAAGATTGTGGAGACTTCTCTCTTTGTATCTCAAGCAGGAGGTAAGTTTTAAAAGTAAGAAATGAAGAGATGGCTCAGCAGCTAAGAGTGCTGGTGGCTCTTGCAGAGAACCTGGGTTCAATTCCCAGCACCCATATGGTTGCTAACAACCACCTGTAACTTCAGGTTCAGGGGATCTGATACCATCTTCTGACCTCTGTGGGCACTGCACAACACAGGTACACTTATACACATGCAGGCAATATATGCACATGCATTAAAAAAAATTATAAAAAATGGAAACTAAGTCCACGATAAATCCCCTAAATCACATTTGTATATTTTATATACAAATATACATTTGCATATTTTAACACAATCTTTGTACCTATAACTTTCCAATTTATACCTAAGATCATCAAGATTAATGTTGCAATTTCTCCCTACAGCAACTTTGGTTAAGACACTGTTGAAGTTTAAACAGATCAGTCATTTCATGCTAGTCCCAAGAGTTTAGAACTTCACTTGCAGCATCAATGGATTTAAGGCTGTAACATGAACAAAGTGAATATCCTATGTGGAAACAGTATTATCAGTATTTGGACTCTGGACAGGTCCTCCAAATACTAACTTTGAGGACTCAAGAAGCAGTGGTGATAAAAGTAATCAAGCTTTGAGTCAGTACTGATGAAACACTACTCCCCGTCTCCTGCACTGATGTCAATCTCACACAACTAATGCGCAATGAAGCACTAAACATTAGCAGACTAGCCGAGAAAGAATTCAGGATTAGACTTTGAACTATTTGTGCTTGTCAACGAAACAATTTTTCATGTGGAAAAAGATTACTAATAGTATTTTATCTGAAATAAAGTCTGTCTTTTAAACATAATTCCCAAGTCTAATAAGAGGAAGTGATACAGAAGTTTCTTAAAATAGAAAATATGAACCAGCTGTTATGATTACATCAGCTTATAACCTTTATGAGGTAAAGAGCAAACAAGCTAAGGAAACTCCAAAAGAATGGGGATTCCCAAAGAAAACTTAAGGACTGAAGCAGTCTTGCAGGTCCTCCACAAACCATCAGATTCCAGGTAGCCTACAGTGGGTCTGGAGTATTTGAGGTGAACCTGTGAAACTGCCTTATTAAACACTGAGCTCTTTGTAGAATTCAGGCACAAAGCTCTGTTAGAACACCAGAACTAACCATTTCTGCAGTCCTAGCAGGTGGCTTTAGCTGATAGAGGACCACTCCCACTCTAGTCTGAAGACTTCTGATAGCTAACCTACTTAAATTATCTCTCTTAAACAGACCCAAACAGAAACTGCAGACATCAATAAGCAGCTGTCAGACATGTGGGAGAGGGATCAAAAACCTAAGACAAAGCCCCACAAAAATCAAAGTAAAGGGAAGAGGCATCTAAGTTTATATCATCTCTATCATCTTGTATTTAGACCATGGCATAGCACTTGGATGAAAAATTACAAAAAATGCATAGAGCTGAAAGTGAACTATACTTAGACCAAAATCATAAAATGGAAATAATTGAGATGAGAATAAATGTTAAATTTATCTACAAAAGCATTAACTCAGTTATTAGAGCTAAACTTTGGGTAGTAAGGACTCTTGAATAGGGAGCCAAAATGTAGTTCTCTAAACTCTACTTGGAATCAAAACAAAGCAAAGCAAAGGCCAAAGTGCTTTTGCCACAGTTAGAAAAATGATAGGGCAGGTAATGAAGCACTCCATTTCCTATGACCAAACATGTCATTTAATTTCATAACACTAGCATGCACACACCCTCCATGTCTTATAGATCCAAGGACTATCTACTCAGAAATGGGGGTGTACATCAGTGCTTGCCTAACAAGTGAGGCTGTGGGCTCCAACCCTAGCAACTCACAAATCAGTCCACTGGTTTGGAAAGAGGTACAAACCATTTCTTCTAATCTTTTGTTCTAACACCATGGTTTCTATTTGACCTTTATATAAGACATTTTACTGGTTCTCAGATGTCAAATAAGCTCCCATGGGAATGCTCTTTAGTACAAGTATTATGGTTACATAACCAAGGTGACCTAGAAGGTTTTAAGGCCTAGGGGATACCAGTGCATTCTGTCTCTTAAAAATAACTGGTTCCCAGAAAGCTTTCTATTTTCTAACCCAAACAGAAGCTTAGTTCAAACCAATGATGTTAATTCTTTAAAGATTAGGAAAAAAAGTCTCTTCAGGAAGGCACCAGATGTATGCAGCATTTAATTTGCTTGCCACATAGCTAATCCTAGCTTAAAAGCAGTCTTTATCACATCAGCCAAGTTCTAATTTTTAACCCCCCAATAATCTTATGGTTTCCCAACTGGATGATTTATTAAAACAAAACTCAAGGGCCTGCTGTTTTTCTCATAATTAAGTAAGAACAGGAAGTTTTGGTCAGCAAATATACTTGCTAACAACAGAGTAAGTAAATAAAGCCAATGGTCAATCTCTGTGAAGTAAAACAAACACCATTTGTGTTTCGGTTTTGCTTCCTGTCTTCTGTTCTCTTGTACAACTCTTCTAAAGAGATAGGGTATTAACATTTTCTAAACCGACAAATGAGGGTCAGAGTATTTAAGTGCCTTGTTTCTAGGATAAAGAATTGGTTAATAGCAGAGATTACTCATTTAAATCTCAAAACTGGTAAATATTTTAGACTCAAAGGGTTAAATGATGTAGATATACATGTACACACATAGAGCTCCCAGGAAGAGTGCTTGCCTAGAATGCATGAAGCCCTGAGTTCAATGCCCAGCACCACATAAATTGGGCTTCGTAGCACACGCCTGTAATTCAAGCCTATAATCCCAGCACCCCACCTCCCCAATGCCTAGGATCTCAGTGCTGAGATCATAGGCATGTATCACCACACTGGGCTTTAAATCAGTATTTAAAAAGTAGGAGCCTTCATAGAACTCATGAAGATAGCAAGGCTACTATGTATAATGCAAATGGCTGGAGGTGCATCTAGCTCAATAGGAAGGGCCAAGTCACCCAAATATAACTTTCTACTTTCTTACACAAGGCAGGGCACCCTGGTAGTTCCTGTTTTCTAATAACCCTGAATCTAAAAATATACTAAATTTACTTCTTTAAGACAAATTCTATGTCAAGTGACAAGGACTGCTAATTGTGAAATTGGTCATTACAATTATGGAACAAAGTTGATAAATAATCTGCTGACCCAGAATTCCAACATCAGTTCACACTGAAGTCACTCAACTAAAGCAAACCAGTGTCTTTATTAATTTCCGATTTAAAATAAAACTCAAGAGCTGGAAAAATAGCTTAGTCATTAAAGGCTGAGATTCACAATTAAAAACTCAAGAGGACAGAACACAGGGACAAAGTTTATGTGATGGGAACACAAATACAACTTCAACTCCAGATTGGGAGTTGGAAAAGAGCTTAGGCATTCTTTTTACTGAAAAACCAGTAAGAAAAGTAGTTTCTCTCAGGGAACGATTAATTTCTGCTTACATAAAAATACTTCCAATCTTCAACATTTTCCTCACAAACTAGAAACTGCAAGGGTAAAAAGCGAAGAAAACAAACACCTTCCCCTAAAAGGGGGGGGGGGGCACAAAGACTCAGCATGAGATTCTCAACATAGATATGGAAGTCCTCAAGTAGAAAGATTATAAGGAAATGGGTAGCTGTTAGACCAAAAGAGGCTAGATTACTAAAGGAAGAACTCAAGCTGAGTGTCGTAGCACAGGCCAGCTATCCTAGCACTGGGAGGTAGAGGTGGGAGGACTAGGGCCTGAAAAGTCTATCTTCAGCTACACAGCAAGTTTGAGACCAGTCTCAGTTATATGTCTCAAAAATTAAAAAAGGAAGAAGTCCTTATGATTTTAATTCAGTCTAATGCTCCTTTAAAAAGCACTGGAGATTGAACCTAGAGTTTCAGGCATGCTAAACATGCATTCCACCACTTAGCTATACCCTGACCCTCTCTTTACTTTATGAAATAGTGTCTCCATAAATTGCCCTGGCTGGCCTTGAACCTGTGACTATCCTATCTCTGCAGCTTGAGTAGTTGAATAGATATGGATTACAGGCCTGTGTTGCTAGACAAAGTAAATAACATTTCATGTAACATATGTAATAGGTAAAAGGGTAGTTGTTACAATATTGAAATATTTAAGCAAATTAATTGAAGGCACACAGTAAGAAAGGAGAAAGGACTTCAGGGCAATTACAAATAGCCACCAAATAACTGAAGTTGCTTAATCTCACCAGCCACCAGCAAAAAACAAAGTGAGAAACTAAGATGCTATTTTTGGCTTACATTGTCCCAGCACTGGGGATGGGGATGATTCCTCACAAGTCTGAAGCCAGCCTGGGCTACAGAATGAGCTGGGTTACAGAAAGAGACAACGAGTCTCAAAACTAAACCAAACCAACAAACAAAAACAACTTTTTTTTATCCAATAGCATTAAAAAATGGTAGATGACACTTCGAACTGCCAAAAGTACACAGGACTTCAAAGAACACTATGGCAACGGTTATTGCCACATTTACAATGTAGGCCCTTTCTAGCTTTAAGCAATTTGTCCTTTAGCACAGAACTTTATATGCTACAGTATTTAAGGGAGGCCCCAAGAAAGTGGTACCTAAACAAAGACAGACAGATAAGAGAAAGTATCAAGAATATATTTGGAAAAGAGCATTCTAAGAAAAGGGAACAACAAAAACAAGGCCCTTAACTGAGAGTCAAAAGCCATGGGGGAAGAGTGGCCCCATCTAGAGCCCTCCAAGTGTCAAGGGAGCAAATGAGATAGAAGAATGAGTCTAACAGGCCAGTGTAAAGACTAAGAATCAAGTGGACTTTTGATGAAGTCTTATTTCCTAAATAGCATTTCCATTTAATCATAAGCCTGACTGCCTATAACTTTGGAGAGTTAAATGTTTACCATTCTCCTAGCAGTCTATACCAGATATTAGCTCAGAATTTATAAAACTTCCAAAGATCTTAACAGAGGTCTACCACACTCCTTACACCACTATATGAAAGCAATGTCTACAGAAAAGTTACCCAAATGACTAAGAATCACTGGGGATAGGGTTCTAAAAGTTCTCAAAGTTCATCTTGTCTTGAAGTGCCTGCATGTAGGAGAGGATGGCAGTGGTGCAGAGGCTGGGACAGCTAATGGCTGTCACACTGTGACCTGTGAGGCATACCTGTGTTACCTGACATTTCCAGAGATTAACTGAGGGAGAAAAATATCCTGAAGGTGGGCTGTACCATCCCACAGGCTGAGGGCTGAACAGAATGCAAGAGCACTGCTCTGCTCCTGAATGCCTTACCCACCATTGTGGATGGAACCTTCTGAAACATTAGTCCAAACAAATCTTCCCTCCACTTCCTCCCTCAAGTTGTTTCTGTCAGAAATTTTGATCAGTAGTGCAAAAGCTAATACATAAATATACCGTTTCTACCACCATTTAACAAACCAGATTTCTTGTGACCCAATTTTTTTTTTTTAATTTATTATTTTTGGAGACATCCTTTAAAGCTGAAGATGACCTTGAATTTTTGATCCTCCTGTCTCTTACTCTGAGTGCTGGGATTACATGTGGGCACTACCCCACCGGGTTTTATGTGGTGCTGGGGATCTAAACCAGTAGTTTATGTGTACCGTGCAAGCACTCTGGTCACATCCCCAGCGCAATCTGTCCTGATAATTACTTCTGTATCCCCTTCATCAGCTGTCATCTGAATTGAGGCTAATAGTATAACACTTGAATTTTATCAGTAACATTTTTTTCCTTATTGGACTTCAGGCTTCTAATTTCTTTTTCTGATTTAAAAAAATTATCTATGTTTGGGGCTGGAGAGATGGCTCAGTGGTTAAGAGCACTGACTGTTCTTACAGAGGACCTGGGTTTGATTCCCAGCACCCACATGATGGTTATGAACCATCCTTAACTCCAGTTCCAGGGGAATTTGATGCCCTCTTCTGACCTCTGGCATTGCACGACACTGGTGCACTCACATACATGCAGGCAATACACTTATACACATAAACCTCCCGAGTTCTGGGACTAAATGGGTCTGCCACCTCGCCTGTCTAAAAAATTGTTTTAAACTTATTTTTATTTGATGTGTATGAGTATATTGCCTACATGTATATAAATGTACCTGTGTCATGTAATGCCCACAGACGTCAGAAGAGGGCTATCAGATGCCCTGAAACTGGAGCTATGGAAGGTTGTTAGCTACCATGTGGGTTCTGGGACTCAAACCTGGGTCTTCTGCAACAGCTAGTGCTCTTAACTGCTGAACCATCTCTCTAGCCCCCTTATTTATTTAATGTGTAGGAATATTTTGCTTGCACGTATGGAAGTGCACCATGTGTGCAATGCCCGTGGAGGCCAGAAGAGGGCGCCAGAGCCTCTGGAACTAGAGTTTCAGATGGTTGTTAGCTGCCATGTGGGTGCTGGGAAACAGGTGAGTCCTTGCAAGAGCAGCCAGTGCTTTTAAATGCCAAGCCATCTCTCCAGCCCCAGGCTTCTACTTCCTATCTGCCTTTTTTAGCCACTATTTCTAGCTTAATCTCCCTAAGAATGATTCTAGTAATTCTTGTAACCTCTCTGATAAATTTTAACCTAAATTTAAACTTCCCACCCTAGCCCCCTATGCTCCAAACTTAAATTCTTCTCCTTCAGACCTGAGTTCCAGACCTTCTGCACAGTACTGTAGACTAAGCAGACATATCAGAAATTCAGTTCCTCTTTCAGGCCCAGCTCGACTATTACTCTTGTCCTTTTCTAAAATTTCCCTTATTTCTCTATCTTGGAGGCAATGTAGTAACGGTAAAAAAGACCATGGGCTTTGGAGTCAGATTAGGTCTATTTAGCATGAGGTCAATGAAGAGGGGTAGCAACTGAGGATAGCTTATTGTGCCTGGATTCCAGCTTGTCTATTAAATAAAGGTCATGTGAACTTCACTCCCTTCAGACTGATGAGACAACTGCAAGTAAGACACTTTGATTTGTGCCATCCACAGTCTTTCCAGAGCCTAGCAGTTCAGAGTAGAAAGTGAGCTGACAGCTAGAAGACAGTTAAGATATTCTAAGGTGATGCGATTTAGAAACAAGAATGCAGCAGGTGCCACTGGGAACAGGGAATTAGTGAGGGTGCAGATTTTGAATGTAAGAGACTTCACACTGAAATCTTTTAGGCTTTAAAATAATAAAAATGAACAACATAATAAAAAAATTAAATTGGGCACTGGATGAAGAGGGTAGCCCATTGGCAAATAGTGTACTTAGCATACATGAAGCACCGGGTTTAATCCTCAGTGCATACACATGCATGCACAAACACATAAACTAGTGAATAGGTATACAAAAAAGAAAACTATCAGACCCTTGGTAGCAACATGATGTTGCTTAAAAACCAACCGTCAATCCTACTTATGGGACTATATCTAAGGGCATATATCTGAAAGAAGTAAAAACAGGTCACAAATAGTTATCTGAACACCCATGTTACTGCTGCATAATTCACAATAAATAAGAGGTAAAAGCAAACTAAACATCATTTGACAGGAGAGATAGGCAAGTAATGGTATAAAGAAATATTACTGAGCCTTAAGAAGGAAGGGCATTCTGAAACACATCATGAGAGGGAAAGACCTTGAAGAGTAATACACTAAATGAACCATGCCAGTCACAAAGGACAAATGCTATGTGATTCTACTTATATGAGGGAGCAAGAGCAGTCAAATTCAAAGGCCAAGCATATGAGACTGCCAGGAGAGGGGGCATGCGTGTGTGTGTGTGAGATGATAGAGTTGGGCATAGTGTGGCACATACCTGCAATTATAGTACCAGGAAGGTAAGGCAGGAAGATAGTGAGTTCAAGGCCAGCCTGGTCTATATTGTGAGAGCCTGGTGTCAAAACCAACAACAAAACTCAATAATCACAAGATTAGAGTACTAGGTTGCGCTGCAAAAACATAAAATTCCTTTAAATATTACAGATAAAAAGCAGACTTCAGTTCTATTCAGTAGTGCCTACCTGTACATTTATACAACATGCCCGTCATGGTTCCAGCTGCTACTGTGTTGAGGTCATCTTCTGCACCTCGTGTTTTCTCAATGATAACACCAAATGCACTATAGAGCAAAGCTAAAGCGGAAACAGAAGGGATAAGTGTTAAAAGTCAACTTCTCCAAAGATGCATACAGAACTATCACTGGAACACTGTTTCTAGTAGCAAAACCTGGCAACAAATAAAATGTCCACCAAGAACATGTGCATCACTGGACGGATCCAGAAAGGATCTTCCATAACAGAATACTAAAGTCACTTAAAAGCTATAAAAGAGCTACATCCACTGACATATAGAGCAAGCACATGTGTGCACTAGTACATAACTGACTGGTTATGGCACAGTCTACAAAATTTCAGAAGAAATAAGAATAGCTATTTCTGGGAAGTATTACTGGGGAGTCCCAAGAAAAATACTTCAAAGTTTTACTTATGTTAGCTATAATAGCTATTTCTTCTGAGTTCAAGGCCAGCCTGGTCCCTACAAAGTTAGTTCCAAACCAGCCAGGGATACACAGTGAGACGCTGTCTCCAAAACAAAAACAGAATAACCAAACAAAATAACAAAGGAGTGTGAGGTCCGATTTTTCACACTTAAAAAAAAAAAAAAACCCACTAACACCCTTTACTTGTACAATACTTTCTCTCAAACAACCCTTACCTGTGCTTTAGATTCCTATCAAGCATAGTATGTATTATACTGTTTTCTTACCCACCTGCAAAATCATAGCCACACCTGACTCTCCAATACTATACCAACTTCAGCCTTACAATTTGACTGTTGTGGTACCATCATACTTTTACTGTTCATCTTCCTGTTTAGCATATTTAGCTGAAAATGATCATGTGCAGAACATTGTGGCTGATCACATCACAATGAGGAAACACACAGTAACCAAGAGGGTGACTAGCTACTGCAGTCTGCCTAGGACTGTAGGATTTTCTGGAATGTAGGATTTTCAGTGCTAAAACCAAGAAAGTGTATGTGGGCAAGGACTGCTGACTAACCTAGGTATACAGGCAATGAAAAAGAACTGAGGAGCATGACTGCTGTAGGACGGGGACAGGGTTGTAGACATGAGCACATTCATGCAATCATTTGTCAGAGTCCAAAACAGGAATTTGGCTTTATAATGTGAAGATGTCCGCTTCCAGATTCTATGGCAAGGCTAGGATCTTACTAGCTTACAGTTTAGGCTTTTTCTCTTTTCGATGAGTTGTCCACATTTCCCTTACTTAATTTGTTACAAATAAAAGATTATCAGAAATGCAGTTAAGTCCATAAATTATGAAAACCTTAGATGTTAAGGTATGTGCCACAAGTAGATGATAAATCACCAGTAATCAAAAGAACCAAGTATTCATGAACAGCATGTGACGAAAGCACTGGATTCCAGGTAAGTACCATTAAATTACCCCTGTCTAGAACAGTGAATGCTTTTCTTATCTTCAAGACTGTAACACTGCCATTTAGGTCCCTGCAATCTACACATCAACAGACTATTAGAAAAACAAAGCAAAAGGTCTGGGCTGACCTGCCAAGTCTCTCTAGAGGACTTTGAACCTTTCTTAACATGTATAGTAGCCCTATGCCTTAGACCTAAATTACTTACATTTCATTTAGTTTAAAACAGGATTTTACTTGGTATATTGTTTTAAAAGAAAGGCAGTGTTTAAAATCCACTTACCAGAGTAAGAGAAAATTAAAATAACTTATTGAACAAGATTTATACTCACCCAGAGAACCTAGAGTATTAGCCCAAAGTGCCCCTTGCCTAGTCACCATATTCAAAATCCTACCAGGGAAGAGAAACATTTTGTATTTAGGATCATTATTTCTCTAGTATTTTAAAAGCCATAATAGTAGCTACTTAAAGCATCTAGACCCAAGCCCCAGTGTTTCTTTAAGATACAACTTAACACAACCCCAGATCACAAAATACATAATTTTTACTCTATATAAGATAGAATTATGGTAACATTAAAATACTTTATTCTTATTTTTTAATGTATATTGCCTGCATGTATGTAAGTGCAAGTGTGCCATGTCATGCCCATGGACATCAGAAGAGGGTGTTGGGGAAGAGGGTACTGGATTCCCTTGAAGCTGGAGTTATGGACGGTTGTTAGTCATGTAGGTGCTGGGAATCGAGCCCAGGTCTTCTGCAAGAGCAGTCAGTGCTCTTAATGACTGAGCCATCTCTCCAGCCCCAAGAGTTATGACAGCACTTATTAAAAATTAGGGGCTCAGTGGTTAAGAACACTGGTTGTTCTTGCAGAAGACCTGGGTTTGAATCCCAGCACCCACATGGCAGCTAACAACTGTCCATAACTCCAGTCCCAGGAGATGACAGCCTCTTCTGACCTCTGTGGGCACTGCATAACATGGGTGTACTTACCTATATGCAGGCAATATATGCAATACACATAAAATAAAAAATTTTAAAAATTATTAAAGAGAGGTTAAACATGCAAGACTTTGACTAATAGCCTGAAATGTATTTTACAAACTAATCTATATAAAAAAAAATTCACTGTAAATTGTGAAAATAGGTTTGATTTTCTTTTGCGGAGGGGTGTATATATTCAGAATACTAAACAGAATAAAAGTAGAGAAGACCAGAGTACAGGATTCAAAGTAGAACTGATGAGAAAGAAACAGCTTCCTAATCAGACCACATGGGGAAAGTACTGTCTGCTCCCACACTAGAACTAAGCAGTCAAAGTGAATGCTTAGCACACTCTCAAGGAAGCACAGTTTTGCCTCACACCAGTACCACATGCCACCAGAACAGTGACCAGGCAGGGGGGTAAAGACAAGACCTTACTCTCCCAGTAGTGTAACGCCATCACAGGAACAGGTCAAGGATGGCTGACTACTGCTGGGAACAACAGAAATACAACTGCAAAGAGGAAGAACACCAAGCTCTCTCTATATTACTAGAATTTGTTTGCTTTTAAAATGTTTTAAAAATTAGTATTGTTTATAGGAAGACCCTGTCTCAAAAAGACTAAAAAAAAAAAAAAAAAAGTATTGTCTACAAAGAGAAATATATTTTCTAATTTATTATGTTACATATTTGCTAACACACTGCAAGTTTAGTATATGGATTTAAAAAAATCTGTACCAAGTTTTAAACTTTCATTACTGCATTGGTGGCAGGCTACAAACTGGTAACATTCTTTGGGATGCAAGCTGGCAATACTTTCCATTCACTGAGCCCTTTCTGACTTCTCATTTGTAACGTTCCTCCACAACAATTCAAGGTACAAAGTAGAAAACGCTTCCTTAAGATCACAAAATAGCAAGTAATGAAACTAGGACTATGAAGCCACACAGTTCTGCCTGGCTCTAAGGCCTAGCTTCTTTTCTGGGAAGATAAGAATGATTATATTTAGGAACTGAAGCATAGTATCTTTTCCGAGAAACTTCCTACTTAAAAATTTTTATTTAATATCAGTTGGAGATTTGTTCGAAAACAGTACAAGGGAAGAAATTGGGTATGACTTGCTACAGCCAATGCCTATTAGAACTTCTATGCTATTTTGGCTTCTTTTGAACAGATTAAAATTTCTTTATAATACAGAGTTTAAAAAAAGGATCAAAGGACAAATGTTAAGAATACAAACACAAAAATATTGAAGGATCTAAATTGATAATATAGGGATTCAGGATTCATGCTGTAACAGGAACAGAAAAAAATGGATAGGCTTTAAGTTTTCTAAAGTCTAATCCCAGCAAGTCTGCTGCCATCTTCTGGCAAAACTACATATATCAAAGTCAGAGTTTAAAGTGTCTATAATGGGCTGAGGAGGTGGCTCATAAAGAGTACATACTGTGTAAGTAGGAGGACAGGGGTTTGGATCACCAGCAGCCTTGCTGGGACTGGGGTAGGGACTATATGCCTGTAATCCCAGCACAGGGGGAGAGAGTGGGGAAAGCAGGGGGCAGAGACAAGAAGATTGCTGGGGCCTGCTGGCCATTGGTGACACCTAATTTGCGAGTCCCAGGTGAGCAACCCTGCCTCAAAAAACAAAGTAGACAGCTCCTAAGGAAGGATATGATAGGCTGATGTTTGGCCTTGACATGAACTGGCTACACATAAATATATGTGCACTTGCATACATGCACATACATATACACAATAATTTCTTATAAGATCTAGAAATTTTAGAGTTTCTGTCTTTCCCCATTTTTAGAACTGAAAAGTCAGTGACATGCTAATATATAATCTGGCCATCACTCTTATTACCAAGGACTCTGGTGCTACAGGCCCTCAACAATCCAAATCCCTACTAGCAACCCAACAATTTAAAAAGCATGCCATATAAGTCTGGACACTGAAACACAACCAAGCCATGAAGTTAGGTTACACAGTAGCATCATAGTATCAGCTGGCTGAGGACACTGACTCAAAGATCACTCCTTGCCAATGCAAGATTCAGTAATCTGATTCCTTGGTTCCTTTTACTTTGAAGTAAGACAACACATAGACACACACATACTCTAACTGAAAAGAAGGAGAGAAAAGTGATCAGGAGGGTAAGCATTAAACAAAGCAGGGGTTAACACGAAAGCATCATGATATTCCAGAAGACTTACTGTACATTTCTTGGTTTGGACCAGGCCATGCTCTGGGTTTCCTTCAATCCTAGCCGAAGACCATTCATTGCCCCAAATGCAGCCCCTAGTGAATCAAAACAATGAATCCAACAACATAATAGCTTTATGCTTTTAAAAAAAATCTATTTTGTGCCTGGCATGGTTGCGCACACCTTTAATCCCAGCACTTGGGAGGCAGAGGCAGGAGGTTCTCTCTGAGTTCAAGGCCAGCTTGGTCTACATAGTGAGTTCCAGGCTAGCTGGGGATATAGGGAGACCCTGTCTCAAAAAGGCCAAAAAATAAATATACAAATAAAATAACTACACTCACCAGTCATGCAACATCCTCCAATGGTAAAGAAGGCTAGTTCAAATCTTCCCCGGGTTTTATTAGCTCCAGTTGGTAAAATAAACTCATCAGTATCCTAAAAGGTAAAAATGAAAACCAAGATGAGTGTTTCTGAAGACTAGTACTTACAGTGTCCTTTAAAATAAACTTTCTTCCTACTTATTCTATTCTTGAGACAGGGTCTCATTATGTAGCCTAGGTTCCCAAGTGCTGGGATCACAGGTTCTTCAACTTTTCCACAGTAGATTTTCAAAGTTACACTAGTCTATCAAAAATAAAATTACCTGCAGTAAGAGCCAACACATAAAGTGAAATGAATACAACACATTTAATTCTGGGGAAGGGTTCTCATTCAGCATTCCCATTACTCTACCCCATCTTTCATGTGTGACTCTGATAGGGCCGTAGGGACTCTGCCTTAACCATATACTCAGAGCAGCTGTGCAAGAGTGTAGACATGAATACTCTAAATTTCTCCCTCCCTCCCCTCCTCCCCATGATTTCTTCTAATAGGGTTACAGCTTTACCTGCTACATTTAAGCATTTGTTCTACTCTGAGTTTGCATTGCATATGCTGTGAAGTTGGGGCCCAATTTAATTCTTTTGCACATGGATTCTAGCTGTCCTAGCGTTATTTCAGAAAAAGACCATTTTCCCCTCACTAATTAACTTGGTACTCTTGTTGAAAAACAATTGACTATAAATAATGTGAGGGTTTACTTCCTGACAATTCTATTCCAGCTCTTAGTAACTTTAGGTTAATAATAAGTTTTAAAATTGAAACATCATATAATTTGAACTTCTGATCATCCTGTCGAACCCCTCCCCAGTGCTAGGATTACAGGCATGCATGAACTTATAAGGCCTTTCTGTTTTCAGTGGTAAAGATTCAAATGCAAGGCTTTGCATATGCTCTGCAAATGCACCAGCTCTTCCACTTAATAATTCTTAAGTGCACGGGGGCATATATTCCTTTGATAACCTTAGAAAGCTACAAAATCTCTTTCTAGTAAATGCACATACAAGTTTAGGATGTACTTCTGGAAGGCAACCCAAGACCTGAAGTTGACACTATTCTATTAAAAATCAAAAAGTGATGCTCAATTTTGAAATACTAACATACCGTAAGAAGACCACTTTCATTTTTGCCAAGCATCCCATGCAAAAATGGTTAAAATTATCCTGATGGATAGCACACAGCATTGGGTTTTTCGTTTCTGGCTCTATATATATGCCCTCAGCAGAAACTATACAAACAAGCACATATACTTTCACCACACAAAAATGGTCTGATAGACAATAAGCCAGTTCTACTTGGTGACTTTGCAAATTAGAGGTGCTTCCTGACATTTAAATGAATGACCTAGTTTTAAATTACTCTCAACCTCCTCTAGAAGATTGTGGAAATGCTCTATATAAGGCAAACAAATGATCTATATAAGGTAAATAATTATCCTTCAATCCAGAAAGAAAACTAATTAAAAAGCCAGAGATAAAAAAGTGGCTATCACGAACATTATTGTCAAGCATGCACAAGCTGTTATCAGGACCAGCCTCCTCTTCAGCAGAATCAACCACAAGACTACTACGAGGTTTGGAGAGAAGTACACAGCATACACAAACAACGCTGGCAAATATGTCAATACACTGAACATAAAGAAGATAAACTGAGAGGTTAAGTTTGTACTGCTGATACTCTAGGACCCTAGCACTATAAAAATACGATGAAGCACCAGTGTTGCTACCACAGAAGAGAAATGAATCCAGGAACAGCCAATAATGTTCCTGAAACAGTTATAAGGCTGAGATTATGTGAAATCTTCATAATTTCAAGTAGATTATGGACATAATGAAATTCTCCTTCGTTCTATACCACATATTCATCTGGACTTCAAGAGGATTTGTTACTCATGATAAATTTTAATAGAAATGTCAGTGTGGATGTAAGAACAGTGACAACCACTAGCAAAAGGAACCATAAATACTGCCTCAGATAAAAATGACCATCAAAGTTTGGTGTGGTGGCACACGCCTTTAATCCCAGCACTAAGGAGACAGAAGCAGACGAATCTCTGAGTTCAAGGTAAGCCTGGTCTACATAGTGAGTTCCAGGCCATCTGGGGCTACAGGGAGACCCTACCTCCAAGACAAAAAAAAAAGGGCAATGATTGACCAAAAAACCCCCCACCATCAAGATACTCTTTACGATGTCCAGTTTTCAAAGGTATGGAAAAAAAATTTCATTATCAAAGTTGGGTGTGGTCATGCACACTTTTAATTCCAGCACTGATGATTCTGAGGCAAGTGGATCTTTGTGAGTTCAAGGCCAGCCTGGTCTACATACTAAGTTTCAAGCCAGCTGTGGCTACAGGGAGACCTTGTTTCAAAAATACCAAAAAATAAAGTTAACCAAACGTTTTTTTCTGCCTCTACTGAGGTAATCACGTAATTTCTCATTTGTATTTTTCCTTCATTGCTTTATTATATTGAAATGCCATGAAATTATTAATTTTCAGATGTTGCCCAAATCATTGAAATATTAATCTTTGAAGTTTTGACACTTAGTCCAGTCTAGCACCTTGACACTGAAAAATGAGCTTTAAAAACAAACTTTGCTTTTATTGTGATGCTTTCACTAATACCTTGTTGGTTTAAAAAAAAAAAAAAAAAAAACCTTTGAAGAAACTTCAGTGGTTTCAGGAAGAGGTACAAGTCAACTCTATAGGTTTTGTGGGAGGAAAAAAGTAAATAGAGACCAGAAACTTAGTCTCTCCAGAAGTACATCAGCACTCAGGTCAGCACTAAGCACTTGAACTTCATGTTAGAGCAAGATAAGGCACCAAACCAAACTAGCAAAACCTTAATCTTACCTGAACGAGATATCGTGGATCCACATTTAAATAGGGAGACAGGGGATTCATACCAGTTACTAGAGAGAAAACAAAAAGTCGTATTATAATGAAATAATATTTCCTATGGGACTGCTTAGGCTCCTGATTGCTACATGACTTGTTGATTTTATTCTTCCTGTAACTTTAGGAGCTGATTGGTCTAGAGAGGCCCTCAGTCTTTTACCAGATTTTGCAATGATGACCTAGACTCTTGGAAAACACAGGCAGTAACATAGATTAAATCATACCACCAGGAAACTAGCTCAGGCCATTTATTATTTTTTCATATATTTATTTGTGTGTGTGGAGATGTGGAAGTCTCTCAAGAGTCAGTTCTCTCCTTCTACCAGGCTATGGAGATTGAATTCAGCAAGTGCCCTTAACACTAGGTCATTTTTCCAGCCCACACAGGCCATTTATAAAGGTAGTTTCTTTCACTTGCATGTCAATCAAAAAACTACAAATGATTACTCCAGCCTCTTAGGGAAAATAATGGCTAAGTTTGCTGTTGTTTTTTTGTCTTTTTGAGACAGGGTCTCCCTGCAGCCCCAGCTGTCCTGGAACTCACTATGTAGATCAGGCTGGTCTTGAACTTACAGAGATCTGCCTGCCTCTGCCTCCAGAGTGCTGGGATTAAAGGTGTGGGCCACCATGCCCAGCTGAGCTGGGTTTCTGACTATGCATTAAGTATATGGAGGTAGTTCCTTCCTAGCACAGTAACAGTGTTGCTGATATAGTTGATTTGTTAGGTAAGGCAGAGAAGTCTTGATTTTTATCATAGGGATGAAACTGAATAGAAAAGAAGACAAACTTTCAGACATAAACTCTAAACCTACCAACTTTAAAGACCGGGGCTGGGTGGTCAATTTTCCCCAATCTTAAATTTAATCTCTGGATCTTCTATATCTCAAGTGATTGTTCACAAATGTATGCATTGCCGGGGATTCTGGTCTTTTCCTCAATTCAAAGTCCACTTAGTTCAATTTCTCAATTGTTACTTGTCATGTTTAGCATCCTGTCCAAGCACATCTCACAGCAATAACTTCTGACTTAACTCACTTTGTCTTACCCCTTCAACTCACTTTCCATGACAGCCCTAATGGCTTTGCTCTACTCTTAGATCAAATCCAAACTCCTTATCCTTGTTTATAAGTAAAAGCTTGTATTAGCTGGCATTTCCTGACTCTCTACCCATAATTTTCTATCAGGTCATAATTATCTATTCAGGTCAAACGCCAGCTCCCAAGTGTTTTCCCTGATCCATTCTAAAATAGTCTCCTCCTCCCATCACCATCTCGGGATCCCACTTTACTTCCTCTATGTTACTGCTAACCAACTGCAACGATTTTGTGTTATTTTGCTCACCTTAGCAGTATGCTGCTCCACAAAGGCAAGAATTATTTTTTAAAAAGCCACTGTAGTCCTGCATCCAGAAAAGTAGTTGGCACATTGTAGGTTAAATAAATGGTATTCATTCATTAGTCTTTCAAATCTTAAATCAATGTAACAATACTTTGTCACATTAAGGTAGTGACCTTTATGCTATGCAACTGAAAAATTGTAAGACATATACAAACTGCTGTTCTGGAATCAGTCTGATCAGTCTGACAGGTGGACAGAAGGGTCATCAAAGGGCATTATTTGGGTTAAGTATAAAGGATCTAGTAAAATATTACAAGTATTTAAAAACCACCCGCTTTTGCAAATGGTACTTCCTATCATCTTTAGTCCCAAGTTCTATTTATCTAGTTGAATATCCATAATTACCAAATCCTTATCCAGTTGAATATCCATAACATCTAAATCCTAAAAGCCTGGAATATGTATTTATGGGATTGAGGAGCACTAACAGGCTCAGTCTTGTTTATGTCCCTTCCCATTTTTTTTTCATGCATTCAGTCATATATGTTAAGGCTTAGCAAGTTTGTGTCCCCAGATGTGAGTCCATCCACTGGAGCCTGGTCAACCTATCCAGTGTCACTTCCTGAAAGAAAACTAATTGGTGCCTGGCATGGTGGTGCACGCCTTTAATCCCCGCACTTGGGAGGCAGAAGCAGGCGGATCTCTGTGAGTTCGAGGCCAGCCTAGCCTACACAGTGAATTCTAGGACAGCTGGGGCTACAGAGAGACCCTGTCTCAAAAACAGACCAAAACAAAACAAAACAAAAACCTAACTCCCCCTCCCCCTGCAGTGATTCAGCTGCTAATAATTCCTCGGGCTAAGGTTGGGGCTTCTTACCAATCTCCCTCCCCATTTTTATGCTGGGTTTTTGTCTGATTTGGGTTTGCATGGATCCTATGCACGCTGTCACCATTGCTGTAAGCTCGCATGAGCAAGTTCCCAGCCGCTTGGAACCTTTCCCGAGACTCTTATTCGGCTTTTCTTCCTGTCTATAAATCATTTTTAAAGTTCAGATCACTTCCAGCTTCTCCTGGTTTCCTGGGTTGTCTCAAGTGTTTCCTCCTAATAGCAATTTAGAATTTAGAATATACGACTTCGTACGAAAAAGTTAACTATGGCCTTCCTATTTGGAACAGGTTTACTTCCAGATCTAGGGTCTCCTAACCCGGGGTCAAGTACACAGCCCAGCCTCCCAGGGTCTTAGGGCCCGCAAAATTCGTTCAGTCTAGAAATCCCATTCCTAGAGGTGAAGCTTGTGAAGGGCAGCGGGCAAGAGGCCTGGGAAGGCTGCACGTTCCGTGAGGGCGTGGGAAACAGCGGAGCCTGCTAGGCCAGATACTCACGTGGGACACCGGCCAGATCCGCGTGCGAGTACCCGGCTCCTCCCGCTCCGAAGAAGCCGGCTAGGCCGCCCGTGGTCTTGTTGCCACTTCCCCCGCCGCCCTCCATGACGTCGCAGCTAACTGCCGTGGGCTTCCCACCGTCACCTCAGGCCGGGGTCGTGTAACTAGGCCGTGGCACCCACGGCAACACCGGGGCCAAACCCGCGTTTCCACTACCACCTTCACACACTGACCTTCCGGGCGCCTTCTTCCCGTGAAGCGCCATACTTCCGCTTTACGACTGTGTGTGGTCCGGAAGTCGAGAGCGTTTTACGGCTGCTTTCCAGTGGTGGGAAAGTGAGCCGGAGTCGGATCCCGAGTCGGAGCGGCGTCGCATTCGGGGCAGGTGGGCTCGTTGCGGAGGAGCGGAGGCCGGCGGCTGCGCAGGGAGGGTCTGCCTCGGAGGCCGGCGCAGCAGCGGCCGCCGTAGCAGGCCGGGGCCGAGAGGGAATGGTGCGGGTGTCGCCGAGAAGCAGGCGCAGCCCGTCCGCGTCAGGGTTAGTGAATGCGGCTCTCTGCCCGGGCCGGCCCGGGGACTGTGCGCCGCGGGTCCCAGCATGAGTGCGGGCCCCGGCTGTGAGCCCTGCACCAAGCGGCCGCGCTGGGGCGCCGCCGGAACGTCTGCGCCGGCTGCCTCGGACTCTCGGAGCTTCCCCGGCCGGCAGAGGCGCATTCTCGACCCCAAGGCCGTTCCGGTACAGTTCAGGGTCCCACCGTCCTCGCCAGGCTGCATCCCGGGGCGGGCGGGACCGCACCGAGGCAGCGACACCTCGTTTGGTACGTGGGGAATAAAACACTTTTTTTAATTTTTAATTTTTTGTTGTCCTTCACTTCTGCCGGAACCTCTTTGTTTTGGTCCAAAGTCCCTGGGGCTCCAGTCACTCCTCTCTGGTCTTGTGTGCACGGTTGTGATGTCCCCTTGCTCAGTCACCAAATGCCTCTGGTAGAAGAGTGGGGCTGCATTTTTTTTTTTTCTCCCGGTGGGATTGGTGGTCTGACAAACTTCGATGGACAGTGGTGACTCACCGGGTAGGCGCCACCTGTGTACTTTCCTCAAGTTTTATAGGGAAATTGCTTTATTGAGGAGGTGTGATTGTGTTTGTAAAGCAGTAGAGCAATTCAGTTCTCAGAACCCGTAAAGAAAGCTGTTACAACTTCATTCATTTAGATAGACTCCCAGAGTGCAGAGGGATTTATCTGTGCTTGCTAGCATGGTTCTTGTCCCTGGCCCATAGCGTTGAACACCAGGAACTCAGTCTCTGCCTTTATACTCTGAAATCTAACTGGAGAGATAGACAGTAGCACAAACCACCAACACATCTAACAAAGAGTAATGGGTTTTCTGGTGAGGGACTGGCTGTTTTGGTAGGAGTTAAATATATACTTAACAATTCATGAGATCAAAGCTAAGTAGTCCAGAAGACTTGGTACTTATTCTGAATTCGGGAGACTGGGTTTGAGTACTTGGATGATGAGAAAGAAAGTATTTCAGTCATGCAGCTGATGCATAAAACAAATGGTAGGGTAGTGAGAGAGGGCTGTGGAGAGGTGGGAAAAGGTCAGCCTGCTGTACTTGGGTGTGGACGGCATTGAAGACAGCACTAAGGATTTCGAACTTTTATTTTCAGGGCAGTGAGAAGCCGTTAAAAGGTTTTCAGTGTGTGCGTGTGTGGGGCCTCTTAAGTTTGTTTCTTGAAAGCTGTATGGTTGGTGAGTAGAAAATGAAAAACGGCTTGCAATCGTAGGTGAAGGTCCTCTGCAGAGGAGTTGGTTGAGGTGGGATATAATGTTGACTTAGACTTGGATGCAGGCAGCAGGGGAGAGAAGTGAACGGGTCCTGGAAAGAATGCCATCCTTTTGTACCTCAGAAGAGATAGGTCTGTGCTAGAGAAACTGTCTGTGGCGTTCTTGGCATGTGTATAAATAATGGAAGCGCTTGGTGTGTGTTTAGAGCATGCAAGTTATTTAGAGAAAGTAAAAATGACCAAGGATGGAGTCTGTGGAATACCAGTGTTTAAGGGGAGGCTGAAGAGAAATGTTCAGGGAGTAGGAGGAAAACCTAGCTTGTGTTCTTTCTCCCAGAAACAAGAAAATTTCAGAAAGAACACAGAGGTCAGCAGTGTAAAAGGCTAGACAGAGGGGGAAAGAGCGCTGGCTGCTCTTGCAGAGGACCGGGGTTCTGTTCTCAGCACATACATGGCAGCTAGCAACTGTTGGTAACCCCAGTTCCAGGGGATCCAACACTCTTCTGGCCTCCCCAGGCATTGCATGACACTTGCATACATACAGGTAAAACACTTGTATACCAAAAGAAAAAAAAGAGTTTGGTCAGAGATCACGGTGAATAGTGTGTACGCCTCTCTGGTTTAGGTCCTATAAGGGAGCAGACTTGAATCAAGACCTTTTTGTTTGTTTTTGAAACAAAATCTCACAATGTAGCTCTGTCTGGCCTGGAACTCACAGAGGTCCACTTACCTCTGTAGAGTAAAGGGATGTGCCACCATACCGTACTTGAACCAAGTCTTGAAAGATGAGTAGGATGTACAGAATAGATGAAAGGGGAACAACACACCCCAAAGCTGGTAGAACTGGAATATAGGCTGGCAAAAGATGTTAGGTGAACTAATTGTGGACAAACTGAAGTGCTATTTTAAGTAATTGAAACCTTATTCTGCATTTACTAGCCCACCAGGAAGCTTTTAAACAAAAGAATACTGTTTGATTAATATTTTAGAAAAGATGACTTAAGCAATAGCTTTTGGACTTTTTAAACTGGAGGCCACAGTTTTTTCCTTGTACACAGTAATATTTGTTACTTGGTGAATATGCCATGTTTATAAAACTGGAATATTTCATGAAATAATGCCATTACTATGTATGATGCATTATTACAGTGTGCATTGTTTACATTTAAAAATGTTCATCAATTTTAGCTTGTAAAGCTTTGGATTAGAGAAAGTCAAGACTGAGATACCAGTGGCAGAGGAAAAAACAAAACAAAAACCGGTTGTCCAATAAGTGATATATTTAAGGGACATAGGAAGGACTGGATTTTAAATTTAGGATGTAGATTTCAGAGAACTTGCTAGAGAGGAAGAAGCACTGAAGGTGTACTACAGATAATGTGTCTGACTTTTGTGGCCAGGTAAAATTGTGTTCCCATTAGTTTTGTGTGGTTGCTGGTAGAGGTTGGGGCTACCAACCCTTTTTCACTGGTTGGACTTTGTTTTCTGCCAAAGAGGAGCCAAATTAATATTAATATGGATGATGTTTTCTGTATACCTCTCATAGGGCACCAAGAAACAGAACTTTCAAATTCTAACATTTTATCATTAAGCCGTTGTTGGAAATTAAAATTTTTTTTCAGGAACTTGGTATTTATACTTTTTACATACAGGTATCCTAGAAGTTGATGAAGTAAAGAAATAGGTATTTAATGCCTTTAAATTTTGTATTTTTTCCTTCTTGGACACATTTCTTCTATTGATTGAAATCTGAAACTTTACTTATTGAGAACTCAGGGTGCTGTTCCATTCTGATGGTCAGTGATTAACCCTGTAGTTTTGCTATAGGAGGCTTCCTGGAAGTGGGGTGTTCCGTGGAGATGCAGGTGAATTTGATGGTGTTTTATGCTCTTTGCCTGTGTCTATATTTGCTCATTGACCTCATTGAAATGTAGTGGTTACTGCAACATAGTACTGATGAAAAGTAAGTGTGACTGGTTTAAAGTCAGTATTACTGGTGTCAGTGGTAAAAGAACTTGGATTTAAGTGTTAAGAGAAAATGTATTTGTTAAATATTGATTTGTGAGGCTGGACACAATATTTTCTCTTATTTTTGTATTCTTACTGATCCATATACTTGTCAAAGGTAGATCACCCCATTTTCTAGGTGAAGAAACAGATTAAAAGAAATGCTATAACTTGACCAAGGTGGTGTTCGAAACTGGGCAGAGGTCTCAATCCAGAATTTAAAGAGCTCATCATATAGCTTTGTCAGTATTTTTTTTTTTTTATTACCTCCCTTTTGTTTGCTGTGATTATTTCTAGTTGAATGAAGGAAATTCCCTGGAATCCCAGTAAGCATCATTTTGTGCTTACTTCAGTAGTAAGATGGATAAAGCTCTGAACAGGCCTGTGTCCTGGGAAAGAAACTTAGAAGCAGAAGTAGTAGTGTTGGGGAGGGCAGCCCCGTCTCTTCTCTGAAGTCAAACAAGGACCGAGGAATATCCAGATATATTCTCACTGCTCACCTTTCCCCGTTATTCTTTTGTCAGTCTTCAGGAATCATGTTTGGGAAGCTGAGGCTGGAGGGAGAGTCCATTCTCCAAATCAGGCCTGCAGAAGACAGCCCTCTCAGGTTCCTTGGAACACACCCCATGGGTTTCTATGAAATAAAGGAAGTAGTGTTTAGTAAGCTTAGCGGTGTCTTGCTGTACTCCATGTGTGTGATAGGAGCCTACCTTACCTTTCATCATAACGTTTATGGAAAAAGTTTTAAATCCTAAGCCGAGCAAAGAAAAACAATAAGTGATTTGGCAGCTTGCTGGTTTGATGTTTGAAGATTTTCTGAACTGTACTTGCTGCAGTTGCTAGAGGTTTGATAATCCCATATCTGGAATATTTGGGATAAGAAGTGATTCAAATTTTGGAGTTTTTAAGACTATGGAGTATTTGTGTAGGCTAAACGGGTTGAGCACCCCTAATCTGAAAATAGGAAATCTGAAATGCTTCAAAATTAGCACTTAAAAAGTTGGATTTTGAAAACCAGAAAAACTGAATCTGTATAATAAAATTAAATGGAAAAGATGGAGCTACAGAAAAAATAAATCTCATGAAATCACTTATCCTCTGCTGACTGGTGGGATTTGTTTCTTTGAAGCCTAATTTGCTACAGAAATGTAAAATCACAGAAGTAGTGCTGAACAATAAGAATAAGAATATCAACTGTGTGATTACTTGTGATAGAAACTATTTAAAGAAATGTTTTTTTTAAAGATTTTATTAGTTGCACTGTTGTGTAGAAGTATACATTATATGGCACTTGAATACTTTTGTGGAAGATATAAATTATATGAAACGTAACTATTTGCATCTAAAGTTCTTCTCAAACCTGACATGCCTTTCACTTATATCATTTACTCAGTGATAAACTACTAATTTCATTATTTAGGCCTGTGTCTGTTTTGCTCATATTATGTTGCTTAAGGTAA